GAGCAAATCAGAAATTACCGAAGACAATACTGTAAAAACAACAGGGAACGGATCAACGAATATTGGAGAAAATATTATGCTAAGAATAAGGAACGGATCAGGCAAAGACTTCATGACCAAACGCAAAGAAAACTAGGCCAGAATATCTTGCGTTTTGGGGCCTGGGACCAAGAATCCGAGAAACTGGAAACGAGTCTAGTTCCCAACACATTGTGGAATACCGACGGTCAAGACTTAAAATTATAATCAATTCTCCCTTTGGAGTTATTATTATTCAATAAACGTTATAAAGACTCAGACTCTTCGTTTTGTTTATAACAATTTAATGACATTACTGTGCCCGCACTCTACTCACCTGGACGCTGGGGACATCTGGTAAACCGCTGACGGCATCCTTAACCACTTTAGTCCCCAGGCATTTGTCAGGTTCCACTCCAGAAGATAGCCAATTACAGTGGAGAGTGGTGTCATTTTGCTAAGAGACATTGTGAATAATGTAATGTTTGTTTCGATTGTCTTGTATATTACGACAGTGGATCGTCAAAGAGCGAAAATCATTGTACATGGTTCGAAGCTCATTTCCGTAATGGTCTAAAAATCACAGTTTTGGATGACAATCTGAGCCAAGCTCAGTCAGCGCAGATGGAAGAATTTCTCGATTTCTTTTAAAGCGAGACATGGGTCACACACCTGGCCGCTTTGTCAAGCTAAAGAGTAGTAAACCAAGTCAATAAAATAAGAGAAAGAAATGACCCAGATTCCAGTCTCTCAGGTCAACAACGCCGCGCGCGCCAGCGGAGGGCGTCATCTCGAGGTGAGCCAATTGACATTTCTTACCAAAACCGCTACCCCACCTTGGGTTTAGTTGGGTTTAGTTGGGTTTAGTTGGGTTTAGTTTGGGTCAGTTCTTAGGGTTTACGAGCCACGTCGTCAGTTCTTAGGGTTTACTAGCCACGTCGTCAGTTCTTAGGGTTACGCGCGCGCGCTCTAGAACGTTCCACACACACGTCAGCGATACCCCCCATGGGACCCAGACCCCCACGCGGCCAAACACTGGGAGCGAAGAACAGGCATGACGTCACGGCATGTTGTAAAATTTTGATGACGTCATTTTTCTCGAACTTTTCTTGGCCGCCGTCTTGAATGGGGGTGTGGGGCTGGCTAAACTGGCACCTGTCATACTACTCGTTACGTATTATTAGGCTCCTCAGCTTTGACTGGCTTATCTGAAAGAAATGCAAAAGTTTCGTGATTCATCAGTCTAATCAAAGTCGATAGGACACGAGGGAGAACTGTTTAGTTCTTTTAGCATAACTCATTGACAATCTATAAAGCAAATCAATATTTTGATGTGCAAACTGCAAGAATATACGAAGTTCAAACCACATTTTCCCTTTCATGTTTCTATCGATTGTTACACGGCCGCTGTCATAAGCCAATCAGATTACGCGTTTCCCTTGTGGCTAACATCGCTAACATACATACAGATTTGATTTAAGAGAAGCACAAAATATCGTTTCTTCATCGTTATAATGTATGTAGTCCTTCTCGAGGTCAAGTGGAGATGGACGGCTTCTATTGCAGATAAAGGAGAGTAAGGATACTTGAATGGAGATTCACAATTTCCACATACGCTCTGGGCCATCTGTTCCAAAAAACAAGGATGGTAAAAACAATTTAGCACAAACAATAGCCACTTGAATTGAATATATGCCGACAACTCAATGCAGAAGATGTACCCAAGAAGCATGCATGGCAGTGAACATCAAACTTTCTTGCCATTTCAACTGTATCCTTGAAATAATCTGGCCAGTAGTGACGCTGCTTGATCTTTCTGACGGTATTGTCTCTGCCTGCATAGCCAGAAAAATCAGCGGAGTGGCATTCCAAATCCCAAAACCCTCGATTTCTCGTTTTCTGTTATCACCAATCACCAATCGCTTTCTGTTATCACCAATCACTTCAATGTTGAACCATCTCTTCTTTTATCAATATAGAACAGGCAATCTGTCTGATCATCGTATTCGAAGTTTTTGCAAAATTTTCGCAAAATTAGCTTTTCGTTTTTGGAAAACCCTGCCGAATATTTCTGGCTTTTGAAATATTCTAAAATATTTCTATATTTTGCAAAATCCATCCTTCCAACATTTTCCGTATTTCCCGCGAAAATCCACTCAAATCCCGACTCGCATCAATGATTTAGACACGTGGAGAAAGTTCAAGGGAATAGAGACCTCATAGAGGGGATGAGGTAGAAGGGAGGTTGGGGTAGAGGCTAAGTAATTCATATCCCGTTAATGTTGGACTAAATATTTTGTATCCCGTAAATTTTTCTTTAGGCAAAAAACAATAATTTTACTACAAAGATCTCCGGGGACATTCTCGGTGTAATTTAAGGCATAAATCTCTTTTTGTTAGTTTTATTTCAGCAGAAGCCCATCTCAGTCCTTTCCGAGTTGAATGGTGAATGGCATATTCGGTCGATTTGGCTACCCTTAATTCGAACTAAAGAAACGATAATACCTAGTCATATTGGACGGGGATAC